TACCTGAAAAGACCAAATTACCCTCACATTAACGGACAAAAAGCAACCAACATGCTACTTTACTTTACAAAATAATACCTTCCGACCCCGGCAACCCCGATGAATCTTTTCTAGTTTGAAAATAAAATTTGTTTTGATATCATGTAGGAGCATACGCTGTAGGGACTATGGACTAGGAAACAAAAGAGGATCTAGTTCGGTTGTTGACTTAAATTTATAGCAAGCATGACCAAAACGTCGGATACCTTAGCCGGAGAGTATCTCCTCCGGTGGATCACAATACATCAACAGCAAATTCAAGCTTCAAAGATAGACATAAAGAAGCCAACACTACAACATGAGATACACATAAAGTTCCATGCTTTATATATACACATATACGGCTACCGATCATCTTTCATCCACGTTTCCGGTTGCATGAACGGAAATAACGAACTCCAAATCTATAACATCTCGTGACGGAGATCCCGCCGGTGTAAAAAACAACGGTGAATCACACGGCGTAGAGAACTCCGTCTTCATACTTCCATCATCTCCGTCAGCCGTCACAGCCACCTCCTCCTCCACCGACACTGGTTCCCGAGCTAACTGAACACCCGTCTGCAGACACGAACTCTTTGTCGTCGATCTGTTTGCAAAGTCAACGTCAGACGTTGATTCGACATCTTCTTTGTCTTCCTCTTTGATCGTGCAAAGAAACCTCGAGGGTCCATTTGCTTCTAACAACTTAAAAACGTCAATCACCTCGTCGTTCGGCGATGATGCATCTGTGTTCTTGTTGGGTCGTCCAGATGAGTCTTCCGGTATATGTGGTTTTAAGCAGAAGAAGTAAAGCAGCAGCTCCTTAGTTGCAGCATCAGCGGTGGGGAAATTATCAGGGTTTTGGTCGTCGAGGTGGATAGGAGGGGGAGGGGAGGAGTGACAGCGGAAGGAACGGTGGCGCCATAGAACGTACAGGAGTTCGCAGATGAGAGCTACGATGGAGACGAAGAAGATCACTGTTAGCGCAGTAGCGAGCTTGCTAAAAACCATTTTTCTTTGTGCAAGTGTTTGGATTTTGAGATTGTTAATTTAAGAGTTGGTGTAGGCAGTTGAAGGTAGGAAGACTATTCGGGACACCGGCACGGGGATTGAATGTTTATCGGAAAAGGTGACGGGAGTGGACGTGGTGGACAATGGTGCGAAGTTTGACGGGGACCTGCCACCCACCAGATAATAATGTTTTAACGGGTTCTTACTTATTAACGTTTCAAATCATGTCTTTTATACAAATTGGTATTGATGTTACACTTTCTGTTTTATGTTTTTTTAAAGATTAGGATTTTTAAGGATATTTACAATCCATCCAACTTTATAAATTTAATGGATTCCCTCTCTATATTATATACAATTTTAACAATATTTTTCGTACAATGCATTAACATTACAAAATCTACTTTAATTTATAGTATTTATTTAACAATAATAAAACTCTTTTTCTTCTAATAGAAGTTCAATTGTTATTGAACTTCAAATCAATTGTTATTCATTCATTAAATAATAACTAATTGTCGCCTTATTCAATCATACATTACTTGTTAGTATGCAAACTTCATTTCGAAGACTATTTAATAATAGAAGTGAGCTTGTAGTTTAGATAAGATGAGGAGATTAAAGAAAAAAGCAAGCAATAAATGCATGCTTTAGATGACGATTAAATATATACGTAGGAAAGTGTGATGAAAGTTCTTGATCAATTGGTGCGTTTTAATTTTAAATATTTTTTTGAATCTCTTAATTAATTAGCAAATCATATTTACATAATCCATATTACCTACTACTATAGTTTTAATTCATATTTAAATCTATAGAAACTTATTATATTTTTCAAAATTGATAATATATGCTAAATTTAGTATGTATTTGTTATGTTTATTTTTCAAAATTGACAATACATGTTAAAATTAGTATGTATTTGATATGCTAGTTAATTATGCAATCCAAGTGACACCTAAACACACCGGAAACGTCGGATGTACTTTGAGAGGTGACCTTAGATCCCTCTCAAGAGTTTGGATTACTATTACGAAAATTGGGGATCTGGAGAATTGCGGTATCAGTTTTGATAACTTGATGGAGAGATGCTTAAGGGCTGGAGATAGTACATTCTTTTGGAAAGAAAAATGGTGTGATGGCTTAGTGTTGAAAGATGCTTTTTCGGAGCTATATCATTTAGAAGCTCATAAAGGTTGTAAAGTCGAAGAGAGAATACAAGGAAGGGATTTAGATAGCTTTCATTGGAATTGATTGAAACAACCGAGAAGAGGCAGGGAGGCCTCTTCGCTATTGGTTTTATACAACAATTTTTCGATTGTTGCTCTATCAGAAGCTGAAGACACATGGTTTTGGAAGAGCAATTCCTCTAGGAATTTCTTATTTCTTGAGATTGTTAATTGGGGATGTCAGGGCGAATGATGTTTATTGTATGTTCAATTGGGTGAGTTGGGTACCGATTAAAGTCAATTGTTTTGCTTAAAGACTCTTCTTTATAGGATTCTTGTTTCCTTAAATCTTGCTAGTTGGGGGTGCATATGATATCTGACATTTGTCCCTTGTGTAGTGACGTTGTTGAAAGTGCTGATCATCTCCTTTTTTATTGTTCTTTTGCAAGGGTTGTTCGGAGATGGCTTCAAAATTGAATATGTTTGTTTTTCTTTCCTACCCGGGATCATATCAAAGCTTATGGTTGGTATATATAACTTGAATCTAAGCAAGAAGGATATGAAAATATGAAGGTCTTTCATCTACACTTTATTTTGGTCGATTTGGAAGACTCATAATGATTTAGTGTTCAACCATGTGCGTGGGTTTCCGATGAAGACGGAGAATGATATACAGAACATCTCTTTCAAATGGTTAAAACATATATTGAATTGTAATTATTTAGATTGGTATGATTGGTGTTGGTCTCCTACATATCCGAATCGTATTATGCAATTTTCTAACATTTTGCTAGCTTTGCCTTTATAAAGTTTCGTCGTTCAAAAAAATAAAATAAAATAATTATCTTTTACAATCAAGTCATTAATGAGAATAAGAATGACCGATAATAATAATGTATGAGAGATAATTCGTCTACATTTGTCATTTTTAACCTTTTTATTTTATAAAAATTCATGTCAAATGTGACACCAACCCTATATCAGGGATAGCATTGATGTCAAAAGGTTGTTAGGGCTATCTATGATGGAATCATTCTATCGGTCTTTCATGTCAAATGAACTCTGGGAGATGATCCCAAAAATACATTCTAACAATCAAGTTAGTAATGAGCATAAGACTATACAAAGTTGAGGTCGCTAAGCTCGTTAGCCACACTAAATGATGTATGTGAAACTAACTAGTTTTAATCCTACTTATAAAATCTAAATTAATCACACAAAGGCAGTGGACCTGTCTATTGGTGGTATAGTTCTAGTAAGCAGGGTATCGAACTCATGGAACGACAATTTAAACTAATTACTAAAATTATCTAATAGCAACTAACAAATAATAAAAGAGAGGTTTTTCTCTAG